GTCACCAGAGAAAATAAAATCACAGCAAAGAAAGCAGACCAACCAAATACTAACTAAAGGCAAAAAAAAATCAACTACCCACTAAAAGCAGTTAAAGGAAACATGAAAGAGCACAGAATAAAACAACCAACATATAAAGAATGGAGGAGAAATAAGAAGGGAGAGAAGAAAAGAATCTCCAGACAGTGTATATAACAGCTCAATAAGCGAGCTAAGTTAGGCAGTAAGATACTAAAGAGGCTAACCTTGAACCTTTGGTAACCAGGAAACTAAAGCCTGCAATGGCAATAAGTACATCTCTCTCAATAGTCACCCTAAATGTAAATGGACTGAATGCACCAATCAAAAGACACAGAGTAATAGAATGGATAAAAAAGCAAGATCCATCTATATGCTGCTTACAAGAAACTCACCTCAAACCCAAAGACATGCACAGACTAAAAGAGTAATACTGTCACACCTATTGAACTTACTCTTAGGATATCCGTCTTCAACTGCAGGTCTGTTGGTGGGGCTGAATGCATTAGCCCCAGGAGGGTGCCCATGTCATCGTCCCCGTTGGGAGAGAGCACCAGCTGCTGGATGATCATCAGGGCATGCTGCCGGCACTGAGGGTACTTCACTATATTATGTGCACATCTTGCACCTCCAAATTCTCGGAAAATACCTTAAAAGAGGGAGAAAAAGGAACATGGATTACAGTAAAACTTTTGAAGACAAGTCGTATGAATTAAAATTTGATCTTTTTTTTAGGAAGAGAAATGCAAAAGAATGCAAATAAAACTACCTAGCCATTTCACCTTTTATAGAACTGCACTGTGGGATGCCGGGCCATGGCACATGCAGATCCTCTCTGCATTCCCTTGGGGCATAATGCCCTGATATGGTCACCGTGCCCAAATTCTCCAACTTTAGAACATTCTAGGAATTCTCCAAATCTAGAAATTTCATACGTGAACACCTAAGAGACTCCAAATTTTTATGTAAAAGCTTTAAGCTGAACAGTGCTTGAAATCAATTTATGTAAAAGACTTTTAGATGAACAATACCCCAAGGGAGTTTTAAACTGAACAAGACTTCCAAAATTATAGCAAGAAAGGAGTGGAATTATTCTATGATGAGAAAAATTACAAGGAACCAAACTTTCTAGTTAGCTATTAACAAAAAAGGCAAACTCTATAGTAGAAAGCATCATTGTTTGGCTCTGAAGACTTTTATGTGGATTTATTTAATCTTCATCCCCTATTGTACAGACAAGGAAATGAGACATACAGACGTTAGTAATGTGGCCAAGGTCACACAGCTAGCAAGCAGCTGAGTAGAACTGATGCCTAGATAGCCCAGCTTTAAAGCCTGTGCTCCTGCCCATGAGTGATAATGCTCTCACATCACATTCCACCTACAAGTAAAAAAAAAAAAAATGGACCAAGTGACCTAAATCACTAATTAGTATTTCCTCCAATGTAACGGTCCAATCCCTTATGCTTTTAGAGTAACTTGTGTATGCCATGGTTATACTAGTTTATATCAAATGGTCTTAGTCTTATTTGTTTACATGTTTGGTCCCTCATTAAACCAGCTTTCCTTAGCTTTCAACGATTCCTGAGTGAATAAATGTGTTTTGCTATAGTGGCTACTGTCCTCTCTATTTAGTGACTTTCTATTTTTTCAGCCTTAGAAGAGTTATATGACCTTGAAGTAAGTATAAGTTAAACGCTGGAGATTTAGCACATAGAAGGCCATGTTTACTTCCTGGTTGCCAGTTAGTGCCCGTTAGATAATCATAATGGCTAATATTTTCTAAATACTTGTTACAAGGAAAGCACTGTGCTGTAGGTGCCTGAGATCACACAGCTAGTGACATCTTTCTTGACAGGGAAAACACAGTCAGTCAGATCTCTGTGAAAAGTTTTAGTCATGTAGAGTAAGTGCTCCATTAGAGTTGTTCAGACCCTTCCTGTGTAACTGTGTCATGTCATTAAAAGCTAATTTGCCAAATAAATTCCTGTTAGTACATCCTTATTATATTTCTCACTATCTCAGCTAACTAAACTTAGTTCTTGGAAATAAGATTATGCATTATAGCCAAATAGTTAATACCATAACCATTAAACTTCACCAGTTATTACCTGAATTACTTACTAAATTTATAAAACTCTGTCTTGGCATGTGTTAAGCTATATTTAAATAATTATATAACTACATGTTTACCTCTCTCTCCAACAGATTGTAATTCCTTTGAGGCAAGAATTATTTTATCTTTGTGTCTCTGCTCTGGTGCTTGGGACACACAATATATTTTAAATATATTAAATATTGAGTTCCTCTGCAATCAGACAAATAGGCAGGCATTTGTGCATTCGCTACTCCCTCCCTCCCTCCCTTTCTCCCTCCCCTCCTTCCTTCCTTCATGTGTGGCTTCCCATAACACTTAAAATACAATTCAAGTTCCTCAGCATAGCCTAAAAATTGTGTATGATCTCGGCCCAACCTACTCATCACATACTCCTCTCATGTATTGACACTGTTGTCTGTGAGGTTTTGATGGTGGCTAGAATTTCAAGTGATCTTTTAAAAAGCAAGAGTGATATTTATAAATATAGTTGGACTGCCAATGATAGGTAGAAAGGACTGAAGAGAAGTTGAGACTAAAGATAAAGCAAAAGATTTAATGAATCCAATTTACCCAGGAGAGGGAAGTTTTATTAGAGAATAATTTTTCAGTATTTTCCTAAGGTTGTAGCATTATAATATTCTTAACATGAATTACTAAGAAAATTAAGAAGATCACCATATGAATCAAGTATTTTAGAAAATACTGAAATAAGCAAAATTATTCAACTAAGAGCCTATATTATGTAAATGAAAAATAGAATACTTTAAACACAAAGCATGCTATAAAAAGAATTAAAAACAAGAACATATTTTGAAGTAATAATGCTATTTTGTCATTAATATACTTATAAAGGTCAAAAGTATTGCATTTCTAGAGAGATGATAGCACCATCACTGAATCCATAGTTTTTTCTCTATGTGATACGAGCATTTCAGAGGCAAGAATCATTAGAAAAGATATAATCAGAGATACTGTCCTGCCAAAGCTTTTGCTAGTAGCTTTTCTGATCACCTGCATTTGTGTTGGATCCTTGAAGAAGCGCTGTCAGAGTCTCCATCACCAACAAAGCCAGGTGCTTCTGGTCTTCAATGGAACTGTTATTTCTTGAGTCCCCTAAGACAAAGAATCAGAGGTTCAAATCACCAAAGTTATGAGCTAAGTTTTTCTTGATTCAGTTTTGTTTTAATAATTTAAATATTATTTCATTAATACTCACTTTTACTGCTAATAGAACAGATATAATACAACCTTTAAAAATGAACACATGTCCACCAGCTACCAAACATAAGGTTAAAATCAATGTTTACAGACTTTGGTGTGGCCAGAAAGTTATCTCAAAAATATTCAGAAGGAAAATGCCAATCAAAGTTAAATGTATCCATTTCACATGGCTTTCCTAATCAAGGAAATCAACAGGAGAATGCTAGATAGTAATGCACCAAAGAGAAAGAAAAGTTTATGCATAGTGCTATCTCTTCAACTTGTATTCAATTCATTCAACATATTTAACATTTACTAAGTGCCACATACTACTACGCTCTTATCAGATTTACAAGGACAAAAAACATAAAATTTGAGGCACCTAATGATCATAAATGTGTGTATACATAACAACAGTAAAGAGATATATATTTATTTCCTCTCTATAATGCATAAAAACATTTTGAGGCATCAAAACATCCCAATTGTTTCTAGAAGCTTTTTTATTCCCTCACAGAAATAGAGAGATGTAGATACTAGTTTTTACTTCAAATTTTCTTGCACCACAATGACATATTTCTAGGCTGCCACCCCTCCCCCACTTCTCTAACAGAAGTTGAATGAACAAGTTATCTCTGGGAAATATTTGGAAGAATGTCACAGTAATGCACAGTAGGTCACTAAAACCCATAGCCAAATAAAAGGCAAAAATAAACAGAACACCCTGCCCAAACCCTTTTCTCAAATAAAAATAAAATGACAGAAAATACTTTACCTTGTTCACTCAGTGCCTGAGTTGGATCCTTCAGGAGGGCAGCATATTTGTGCAAAAGGTTTACCATGACCTCCAGAAGGCCCACCTCCCTGAATACATCTTTGAATATGTAGTCATGTCGTGTGAACTTAAGAAGTGTTTTCATCGCAATAATGCTACAGTGGTAAGAAGAGCTAGATTTTAGGAGGATGCTAACACTAATAAGTTCTTTACAAGGAATATAATTTAAGCTAAAAACGACAAACTCCAGCATCTCAAAGTATTTGTTTTGTACTTCTGGGAGTTTAGAGATCTTTTCTGCAAACTGTGACAATGTGTGCTGTGACTCTAAGATGAAATAATTGGCATTGTCAGCCATGTAAATATTTGTGATAGCATCAAGGATGATTTGGGCAAGGAAGTTGGTTTTTGCTTTTAAAAATGCATTCTGAAGAACTGCAAAGGCCTGGATGTTTCTCACACTGTGACCTAAAACAGAAAACAAGAACACAAAAGTAGGTGCTATGTGATATTTTAGTCATGGCAAACTAGTCTATTTAAACAGACCATGAAGTGTAAAATTATCAACTATTTACTAAGAACATGTCCTTTTACCACAAAAGGTCTCAACTGTTCTTCATCAGGTTCAGCCTTTTAATTAAAAATAAACAGATTACACTTTTAATGCATCATTATGAATATTTCAACTCAAGAATAGTGTATGTTGAAACACTGGACTGCTTTAGAGAGAGTAAAGCGTAATACAAAGTCAGAGTTTTTGAAATATGCATGGGTTATACTTTTTTACTACCTGTAAGATTGACCTTGACTGTAAGAACAGTTACCTCTCAATCAGAAAGGACTTTCAGGCTCAAGAAGTAATAGGCCCCAGAGCAGCAAGACTGACAACAAGAAAATAGGAGGGTGAAAATTTTCTTAAGTTCCAGTTTTCCCTTTAAAAGTACAACACTAGAACGTTCAGAAATTTTAATTTGGAATGTTTTGTTTAGTTTTCAAGCTTTAATACATTTGTTAAAGCAATTTATGGCTAGCTACTAGCTGTATTTTTAAACATCTTGCTTTCAAAAACAAATCTGCATACATGGCCCTTGTGAGGCAAATCGGTAACAATAATAATGAAAAAATTTTCACAGAAATAATTTGAGGCACATAAAAACAAGTATTTGCCTCTAAAAATTGTCCCCGGGTTCATAACTATTAGGAGTATACAGCAAAAAATTAACACAGAACCTAACAAATTAAGTTGGATTTTAGAAAGAGGATTAAACAGAACTAGGTAAAATACAGCATGGGTTAGAAAGGCTGCTCAGAAATCCTGGCTTGGACATTATCTGAAAAATACAAAGATTTCAAAAAGGTCTTCGGAAAAATGCAAAGATTTCAAAACTTTACTTCAGGTCCTTATTAATAGAATGCTTGTTCTTTCCGAAGACACCGTCACTTTTTTTACTACCTGCAGGTTGCCACAAAAACAAGCTTACACAGACTGACGGACATACAAATGTAAAAGGTCTGACTACACATGACAGAAAGGTGACAATAAGGTTAAAGAATAACTCTAGCCAATATTTTACATCTTTCAGTTAAGAGACAATATCAATTTTCACTACAAAGAAAAGAGTAAAACAAAGCTGAATTTAAGGTAATACCAGAAAATTTAGATTTTCCCAAGTTTCATCATTATTTGGTTTCAATTCATGTCACTGACAAAAGATAAGGCCTATTAATAATCAATCCCAAGAACAAATTGTCTACCACAAAGAGCTGAATTGAATACAATGTATAAACATACACAATTAAATGTCAGATGTGGTCATCTTTGCATACAAAGGTAACATGAGAAATATGGTGGTTAGGGGAACATTTGGGTCTTAGTAATTCCTTTTTATTGTAATGAATCTGCTCTGATTCATCTTTAATCCTATTTGTTATCCAATTCATTTACAAACTATTAGCATGTAATTGAAAGTGGTTGCTCATAGTAAATGACCAAGAAACATAGAGACTTCATGATGGGCTTTAAGGGCAGAACATTGACCAACAGAATGGCCAATCAGTCTGACACTAGTTGTGAAATTCGGTCATTTTCTGTGACTAACCTAGAAATGATTTTCTGTTTGTGATGTTATTTCCAAATTTAGTAATTCTTATGTACAATAGAACTAAACAGAATCTGATAATCTGGTTTTCTGAAAGGAGAAAATATCTAAAGGAATGGCTGAATAATAATAATACCAAAATAAACGGCCTATAAGTTTGAAGTGTATTTTGAATTCTGATGTTATCAGGAATAGTTATTCAGCACTGTGATAGCCATTAAATTCCTACAATATTCAATTAGGAAGGAAGAATAACAAATCTAAAAATAACTTGAATCACTGTGTTGCATATTTGAAACCAATATAGTATTGTATATCAACCATATTTCAATAAAAAAATAATTAAAAGACTGTACTCTATGACACATAAATGCTCTAACATTTTAATTAAACATGTATCCTGCATAAGTTTCAATTTTTGCAGGAACTGACTTTAATCTGTTTTACGGAGACAAAGGTAAAGTGAGAAACTCATTCAAAAAGATGTAAATCAACATCTCATTACTCTCAAGATCATATGAGCAGAAACAAAAGAAATGAATCTGGAATTTAAAGATATCCATATATACAGCAAAGAACAGAGCTTTCCTGTTTTCAGAATCTAATGTAAAATGTAAAAGTGAATGTTTGATAAATGAGACTAAATAATACAAGCATTAAGAGAAATGGAGTAAATAAAGGTCTAAAAAAAGAAATCCAAGAATTCATTTGGTAAGTAGACACTGAATATTATTTTTCGGATTCTAAGTCACCAGAATTAGATTCTATGCAACACTGCAGAGGACAGATCTGAACAGAGATGAATGGAAAGGGGAACAGTCAAAGAGGCACCTGTGGTAGTCCATGTGAATGGCCTATGAACCTCAACTGAGGTAGTGGCAGTAGGGCTGGTAAAGAAGAGAGGAATCAGCAAATGTTCCAGAAGTGTAAGAGTGAATTACACGTGTAATGTGTAATGCTTTAATGGGTAATGCATAAATTACACATGTGAGTAACCAATCAGAATAGAGGCTGGCAACTGACAAGCCACAAGGTTACACTCTGCAAGCCAGCTGACCGGCACCCCAGCCGCGCACCCCAGCCACATTCGCATCCAGCATGTATCAAGTGGAACAAGAGCTTCTTCAACGAAGGCCCATGCTGAAGACTGCAAGGCACTTCAGTTACTAGTTGGAACAAAAATACACAAAAGGGAAGGTAACACATTATCCTTTTATACCTTTTAAATTGGTGCTGCCAGAATTAATGTGTTAAAAGGAAACTTACAAAGGTGAAGTCACAGAAGCATTTTGAAAAAGACAGGCATGATCTTTTCTTGTGAAGACATAGTCTTTATAAAAAGTATTTTAAAAACACTGTTGAGGGAACAAATTAGCAAGCTACAGAGAGCTATGAATTACAGAGCACAACCTTGCAAAGGTGTTTCTAGAATAGCTAAGATAAAATTTAACCACCATGGAGTAATTAAACAGAAGGCATATTTCTTAAAGGAAAGGACTGCAACATTTTAAAATCTTTCTTTAGAAAAATATCTGGCAGTAAGGATACAAAGTTTTATAAGAGCTCTTGCTATGCAATAAAGAAACAGAAGTCATTTTCAGGCTTTAACTTATGCAAACAGACATGTTTACCAGCTTCATTAATAACTCAAGTTTACTTTTTCTTTTAAATTTCTATTTCTACACTGTTGCATGTGATAAAAAATAAGGTAGGTAAACTATATCTATGTATAGAGCAACATAAAGCAAATACATTCATGTTTCCTCTCTTACATGTAACTACCAATGAGTGTGTAAAAATTCTCTGCTACCAGGAATTTTCATAAATGAAGGGAAAACAAGGAAAATATTCCCCAAATTACTCTGAATAATTGATAAAAAGTAAGTTAAATATTGTCAAATATGTCAGAATGGTCACAGATATAATTTATAAATAGTCCAAACTAAAAAGTTAAAATTTGTGAAGGATTATTCCTGCCTTGGTCTATCACTGCTACACACAACACAGTCACAACTGGCTTTCCTCATCTCCATTCCTGTGCAATGGTCCATCATGTCTTTTCTAAAACTAGATTAATAAGAAATGCATCCCCAGCCAAAAAAGACACTAAAACTAATCATCAAATGTAAAGGCATAGGTAAAAAAGGATATTTTTAAAAGTAACTGCATTTGTATAAACAAGCAACAAGCAATCCAAAATGAAGTGAGCAGCTTTATTTACACCAGTATCAAAAATAATAAAATACCTAAGGACAAAGTTAACAGAACAAAGACCTATGTGATGTACACTATAAAACAGTGCTGAGAGAAAACAGACCCAAACAAACAGAAAACTATATATTCATGGATTGGAGGCCTCAATATTGTTAAAATGTCAATTCTCCACAAAT